CCAAGCAGCATCATAGGAGCAGAGCCTCTCTGCTCCTATGATGCTGCTTGGCCTGCTGTGTTCATCCAGCCCTGCACCTTGTTGTCTCGGATTCTCCAGCATCTGCGGTTCCTACTATCTCCTATTCACATTGTCTGGTTAAACCTCTGGTCATTGATGAAAAACACAGGTGTTGAAAGTTAGGGGTTGTGCTTTGTGTTATTCATATGTCCATTATCTTATTGTTAACCTAAACGTCAAAGTTATCGGTCTTGTTGTAGGCTGACGTGAACTGCTTCCTCAGAAATTGTGAATGGAACTGAACACTGTGCAATAATTAGCAAACAGACTCACCCCTAAAAAACTACCTAATCTCTAATGTGGTTAATTTTTACTCAACCAACCCCACCCTATTATCAGTAGTATCATTGGAGGAGTCAGGAAATCTGTGACTTAGATACAAAGACTAAAAGTCCTGTAGAGAGGCAAGAGTAGATACCAAGGCCAAGAAATAGTTTTCAGTTAAATGTGGCAAGATACTCCAGCCCAATGGTGGTATACAGTTTTGGCAGACAAATGTGGAATGTTGGATCTGTATTTGACTAAGGGTCACAGAATGTTCTTTGCAAGCATTATGACATGATGATACATTTGGAAACAAAAATGTACAAAATGAAGTTTCTAAAAAGTTTTGATAATAAGATGTTTACGAGATGAATACATTGCAATATAATGTATACAATTAATTGAAAATATTTTTAAAAACTTTGAAAAAGTTTGTATTGAAAAAACTTTAAAAACATTTGTGCTTCAAGATGGTCATGTACTTCTTTAACTACAGATTTCATTAGTTAACAATGCACCTGTTAACATCAAAATATATTTTCCTGTTAGAAATAGTCTGTCATGGAACATGAGCGTATTTATATCCATTTATGACATTCAAAAGAAAGATTGATTTTCTCCAATAAACTTTGATTTTTGGGCCCTGACGTTTTACTGTTATCAATAGTAAAACCACATCAGGACTTTGCAGCCCCCAACAACTGTTTTAATAACAATCAAAATGACTTTAAAAAAGATCCTTAAATAGGAGTCAAATACCCGATATTGGTTAGTCACAGAAAACAGTTACAGTAACATGATGTATGGTTCACATAAATAAATTACTCCCACCTTTATCTCCTCCAACTAAAATTTTTAAAATAGATCACCTGACAAGACAAAGAAGAAATCAGTCACTGAACCCTTTTTCTGAGGGGCAGAAACTCAATTTTCCTCAATTAACATCAGTGATAGACTAAATCAGCAAACAGTGGTGTAAAACAAAACTGGAAACTCCTGTGCTGGATTAAGGCTAAAATTGGAGGTGGGTGGGAGCTAGAATTAATCTCCCTGGCCAGTGTCCCTTTCAGCTATTTTTGCAGAAGTAGAATAATGGGATATGCCAGCTGGTCTAAAACCCCATGACCTTCGATGAAGGGTAGCAGACACAACTTGGTAAGAGCCACCTGAGACCAATTAAGGGAAGCAGAGCGTTGGACATTTTAGCTGCATTAAGCTCCTGATGGCCAGTTGGGGGAACCAACAATCCTAGCAGGGTTAAAAGGCTCCCTGGGTACAATAGTAAACCACAGTGAAGAAGGACTCCCGTTCCCCCGCCCATGTAACCTGACCACCAGATCCATTTTCTAATTTGAAATTTAAAATGTTTAGAGGGAGAGCACCCTGTCTCACTCAATCTCGCATCACAGCCTGCTGCACCTTTCAAGCTACATCTGGCTCCTACATATTGACTACAGTTCCGCCTTCAACACCATAATTTCAAACAAACTCATCTCTAAACTCTGAGACCTAGGTCTCGGCTTACCCTTCTGTAACTGGATCCTTCCTGACCCGTACACCACAATCAGTGAGAACAGGTGAGAACATCCCCTCCACCACAATCCTCAACACTGGTGTCCCACATGGCTGCATACTCAGCCCCCTAATATACTCCTTCTACACTCACGACTGTGTGGCCAAATTCCGCCCCAACTCCATGTACAAGTTTGCTGACAACACCACTGTTTGTAGGTTGGATCTCAAGCAGCGATGGGACAGAATACAGGAAAGAGATTGAATGCTTAGCAAAATAGTGTAAAAAACAATTTTTCCACCAATGTCAGCAAAATGAAGGAACGGGTCATTGACTTCAGGAGGTGGCCCTGTTTGCATCAATGGTGTTGAGGTGGAGATGGTCGAAAGCAAGTTGCTGGGAGTGATGATCAGCAACAATCTATCCTAGTCCACCCACGTCGTGCAACAGTCAAGAAAGCACAGCAACACCCCTACTTCCTCACAAGGGGCTAAGGAAATTTTGGCATATCCACAAGTACTCTTACCAATTTTTATAGATGCACCAGAGAAAGCATCCTATCTGGATGCATCACAGCGTAGTTTGGCAACTATTATTCCCAAGACTGCCAGAAACTACAGAGAGTTGTGAACGCAGCCTGATCCATCATGCAAGCCAGCCTTCCACTGACTCCATCTATACTTCACGCTACCTTGGGAAAGCAACCAACATAATCAAAGACCCCTTCCATCCCAGTCATACCCTTGTCCACCCTCTTCCATTGGGCAGAAGATATAAAAGTTTGAATACATGCACAAATAGATTCAAGAACAGCTTCTTCCCTGCTGTTATCAGACTATTGAATGGACCTCTCAAATGTTAACTCTGATCTCTCTCTCTGTGCACTTTCTCTGCGACTGTAACACAGTATTCTGCACTCTATTCTGCTACCCTGGTGCACTTTGTATGGTATGATCTGATCTGCCTGTAGATCACACAAAATAACACTTTTCACTGTATCTCGGTACATGTAACAACAATAAATCAATTAATCAAGCTAGAAGACCTCAAATTGGCACTCCAGCTTTGAGGGTTTGGGACTCAGGTACAGTCCCAATCCTTATTTCATATTCCTGGAAGGAAAATCTGCTCATTGAACGTGTTGAGTTAGCTAAACTCAGGTGAGGCTGGAGTGCTGGCAATGATCTGCAATTGACTTCAGTGTTCCTGGTTTGAGAAGGGAGAAATCAGCTCACAGCTCCAGATTCTATGCAAGGCAATCAGCCTGAAGTAGATTTTGTACAAGCTGAAGAAAGGAAGGTTCTGGAAGAACAAAGGAGAAGGTCTGTGATAGGATGGACAGCAGAGAGGTTATATGACAAAGGATTTCATGGCACAAAGGCAAAAGGAATAATAATTGTTGTGTTAAGAAAAATAAAGGATTTGTCCAGAATGAGTATGAATAACAGAATAATAGTTATGGAGTTTTACAGCACAGAAAGAGGACCTTCAGCCCGTCAACAATTACCTATCTACTCTAGCTCCATTTTCCAGCTCTTGGCCCAGAGCCTTGTATGCTATGGCGCTTCAAGCATTCATTTCAACACATCTTAATTGTTGTGATGGTTCCAGCCTCTACCACTCTCTCAGGCAATCAGTTCCTATATCCACTACCATCTGAGTGAAAAAAGAAATTCCTTAAATCCTTCTAAACTTCCTGCCCTTTACCTTAAATCTGATTAAAAAATAACTCCCTGGTTATGGATCACTCGATTAAGGTGAAAAAATTTCTTCTTATCTACCCTCTCTATGCCACTTATTTTCTATACCTCAATCAGGTTCCCTTTCGGCCTTCTCTGCTCTAAACTAAACAACTCCAGCCTATCTAGTTTGTCTTAATAGCTGAAAAAGTCCAGTTCAGATAGCATCCTGGTAAATCTCCTGCATCTTCTCTAGTGCAGTTACATCTTCTTGTAGTTTATGTTTTAGTTGTTCACAGGATATGGGCATCACTGGCCAGTTATTTATAGCATTTGTTGCCCATCCCTAATTGCCTAAAGGGCATTTAAGAGTCAACCACAATACTCTGGGTCTGGAGTACCACAGAGGCCAGACTAGTGAACCATTTAGTTTTTACAACGGTCACCAGTGGTTACATGGTTGCCATTAGATCAGTTTTTAATTCCAGATTTTATTGAATTCAAATTTTGCCACCTGCCATCCTAAAATTCAAATCCAGAATATTGGCCCAGAGTTCTAGACTGTAGTCTATTGATAAAAGCAGTCACCCCAATGTTTTTGTCTGTATTTGGTCTCCCCAATGTAGAGGTGACCATGTTGACAGCTATGAACACAGTATCCTAAAATTGAAAGAAACACATGCTGTTTCCTCACCTCTTTAATTTCTATCTTCCTTCACACTGAAGAAAATGTCTGAAACCTAAAACATTAACGCTCTTAGAGACAAAAAAAACTGCTGATGCTAGAATCCAAGGTAGAAAAACAGGAGGTTGGAAAAACACAGCAAGCCAGTCAGCATCTGGAGGAGGAGAAATCAACATTTTGGATATTACCCTTCTTCAGTACTGGATGTGGAGGTAGGGGGAACTGCAGATAAAGGGGTGGGGAGAGGGTAGCGGGATGGTGGTGATAGGTGGACATCAGTAGTATGTACAACCTGGTTGGTCGATGGGAGGGATGAATCTGGTTGGTAGCTGGAATAGAAGGGAGGAGGTGGGGCTGGAAAGGGAATGGGAGATGGGTGGGAAGGTTATTTGAAATTGGAGAACTCAGTGTTAAGTTGTCTGGACTGTAGGGTGCCCAGTCGGAAGATAAGGTGTTGTTCCTCAAATCTGCAATTTAACTGTTACTCTTCTCTACACACGTTCCCAGACATGCAGAGTATTTCCAGCATTTTTAGTTTTAATTTGAGATCAAGTCCCACCTGATTAGAAAACAAAATAGATGTCATAATGAGGGATCTTGTGGCTCAGTGGTAATGTCATACCTGTGGGGCAGGTGGCTTGGGTTCAAGTCACACCTACTCCAAAGATGTGGAATAACATTTCTGAACAGATTGACGAAAAATAATTTTTATAAATGTCTATCACTGCTGGACTTGATTAGTCCAGTACTCCTCTAATTAGTATCCAAATTCTCCATGGTTTGTAAGCTATAGTTATTCCAAAATATTGCTGCCCATTTTGTATCCAGCATTATATCATGCTACCCATTACTCTGAACAAAGAAGACCTACATTTGCTACTGATTCACATTGTCTCCTTAACAAGATTCACCTCATATTTTAATATCTCTTTCCTGTAACCCCTGTCAATCACATGACCCCCCAAACTAAATATTCTTCTAGCTATGGCATCTTGTGGTGGGCCTTTTCCAATTGCCAATTCCTTGGGTATGCTTTCATTTGTTAGCTCTACTTCTGTAAACTGAACCAGCCTTCTTAAAGCCCACAAGTCTTTCTTCCTCATAGGTTCTTACTTTTTGGCTGAATATCCACTTCATGATTATTGGGAAGCTTATTTTGGCTCTAATTTCTAATTTGTATGATTTGACATTCCCTGGAGATGCTAAACCAAAAAAACGGCAGGCTTAACATTTGAGGTACTAATTAGATGCAATTTTCAAGTATATGCCAGCTCCTTATATCCACTTCCAGTAAATAAAAAACAAAATAATTTGTTCTGTATCAGTATTTTCTGTCTGTCTTACTGAGATTAGTCAGTCTCAGAGCAGGAATCTCACGCGGACTGAGGGAAGAAACACTAGAGGGTGCCACTGAAAAATATTACAAGTTCTGTTCCCTCTTGCCGTATTTCATTTCCTCTCCATTTTGTTTGTTTTTTGAAAAGAAATGCCTTGAAACGTTACAATTGAGCTCAGCTAAATCAATAAAATGAAAAATATGCCATCCAGAAGATGCGGATTGAGTCAACAGCAGCAAAAACCTGAAGCGGAACTAAACGTTTCTAAGTTCCAAGTAAGCGGTCAGCTCTAAAGTGAATGACAAATTCCTCTACTCTTTTGTTGCAACGATGGGCTCGGGCGATGAGCTTCATTTCTCGCTGCTTGATCTGGTCTTCATCTGTCTTGGGCTGGCCACTTTTCTCTTCGATCTGGGGACTGATGCCTGGGTGGTGGCCTCTTTCTTCCAGGCAGGAGATTATTTCTGGGGTGCTGCCGTGTTATCTCTGGTGCTGTTTTGTTCAGTGGTCGTTCAGCTGTTCAGCTGGTGCTGGTTTGCCGGGGATCGAGAGCAATTGAAGAGTCTTTCCGATTCCGGACTTCTTCCGTCCTTCAAGACCACGGTAGGAGATGGTGCCCTGCGGCTGTTACACGGACTGCAACTGGGATTTCTGGTCAGGTCAGTAACGGATAGGGCGGAGAAAACCCATAACAGGGGAGTAGAGAGAGATATGGCTGCTGCTTAGAGAAGGAGTAAAATGTTGAAAAAAAGATGGAAGAAACTGAAAAAGAGAAAAAAAACTAAACAAAAACAGCGGTGGAAAATGACCAGGACAGGGAGAAGGTGAGACATGATGAAAGTAAAGCAGAAAGAGGGGAGTAAGTGGTTAGCGATCTACTGCGGGGTTGGAGAGGGGGTGATTTGAGACCCACTGAAGAAAATCGGCTGTCCCGGTCAGGGGTACCAGGAAGAACTCGATAGTCACAAATTTGATCCAGTCCCTGGCGAATTTCCTGTTCTGGCAATGCTGCAACCAATAGTCTGTATAAGAGTTGCATTCCTTCTGAAGGAGGAACAGCAGCTGGGGTATATTTCCATTAGCTCTCCATGTGGCTGGAGTACTGGGAGACTGTTACTGGACCCATGACTGCGACAGCGAATGTGGCACCCTTGGATATTTACACCTGAGGAGTCTTGCGGCATGCTGGTAACGTACGTATCTAGCAGCCACAAGTTGCAAGTCCCACCTATCCCGCAGGCGTGTCATGGTATATCAGGTTCATTAAAGTAATCCCAATTACCTTTTTTGGGAGTCTCTTGCAGGGTATGCAGTGTTACTCTGTCAGGAGGCCTGTGTTCAGGTCTCACCTGCTCCAAAGATGTGTCATAGCAGTTCTGTCCATACGACATAGGAACAGAATTAGGCCATTTCACCCATTGAGTCTGCTCCACCATACGACCGTGGCTGATACGTTTCTCAACCCCATTCTCCTACCTTCTCCCTGTAACCCTTGACCCCCTTACTAATCAAGGACTAATCTATCTCTGTCTTAAATATACTAAAAGACTTGGCCTCCACAGCCCTGTGCAGAAATGAGTTCCACAGATTCACTGTTGTCTGGCTGAAGAAATTCCTTCATTATGAGGTTGTGGCCTCAGGCCCTTGTCTCTCTGACTAGTGGAAACATTTTCTTCACGTATACTCTTTCTAGGCCTCTCAGTATTCTGTAAGTTTCAGTGAGATCCAACCCTCTCCATCCTCCTAAACCCATCAAGTTCATGCCCAGAGTCCTCAAACACTCTTCGTTGCAAGGCCTTCATTCGCAGGATCATTTTTGTAAACTTCCCCTCTGAGGCCAGGTCATCCTTCTCTAGATATGGGACCCAAAACTGCCCACAGTATGCCAAATGTAGTCTGATCAGAATCTTGTACAGTTTCAGTTGCATCTTTTATTCTAGCCCTCTCAAAATGAATGCTAACATTGCATTTGCCTAACTCTCAACTGAACCTGCATGTTAACTTTAAGAGAATTCTGAACTACAACTCCAAAGTCCTTTTGTGCTTCAAGTTTCCAGCGGCTTTCCCCATATAGAAAATACTCTACACCTCTATTCTTCCCACCAAAGTGCATAAACTCATATTTTCCGCATTGTGTTTCATCTGCCACTTCTGTGCCCACCCTCCTGGCTTGTCCAACTCCTTCTGCAGCCTTTCTGCTTACTCAACATGACCTGTTCCTCCACCTATCTTTGTGTCCCCTGCAAACTTAGCAACAAGGTCCTCAGTTCCTTCATCCGGATCATTAATGTATAATGTGAATAGTTGCGGACCCAACACTGACCTCAACGGAACGCAATTAGTTACCAGCTGCCATCCTGAAAAAGACCCCTTTATCTCCACTCTCTGTCTTCTGCCAGTCAGCTAATCCTCTATCCATTGGCTAACACTGTGGGCTCTTATCTTATTTAGCCTCCTGTGCAACACCTTGTCAAAGGCATCCTGGAATTCCGAATAGGTCATGTCCACTAGCTCTCCATTGTCTAACTTGCTTGTTGCCTCCTCAAAGAATTCAAACAGATTTGTCAGGTGTGACTTTGATTTGATTTATTGTAGCCATACCTACCTAAGTACAGTGAAAAGTTTTATTTTGCGAACAGTACGAGCAGATGATAGCAAACAAGGGCATAGACAGTGCGAGGCTTACAAGGTTACAGCTGCGCAGGAAGTGCACAAAGCAAGACAATATTAGCAAGATCAACATTATTGAAGTTAGAGAGGTCCATTCAGCAGTCTAATAACAGCAGGGATGAAGCTATTCTTGAATTTGTTGGTGCATGTGTTCAAGCTTCTATATCTTCTGCGTGATGGAAGAGGTTGGAAGAGAGCATTACTGGGGTGGGAGGGGTCTTTGATGATGTTGGCAGCCTTTCTATGGCAATAAGGAGTGTAAATGGAGTCCATGCATGGGAGGTGATAGTCTGAGCTGTGCACACAACTTTCTGTAGTTTCTTACGGTCCTGGGCAGAGCAGTTGCAGTACCATGCCTTTCCAAGTATTCTACAATCTCATCTTCAATAATGGACTCTCAAATCTTACCAACCAACAAGGTCAGTCTAATCGGCGTATCATTTTCCACCTTTTGCTTTCTTCCCTTCTTAAACAGAGGTGTTACATTAGCCATTTTCCAATCCTATGGGACTTGTTTTACTCCAGTCGTTCCTGAAAGATCATTACCAATGCCTGTACAATCTTTTCAGCTATCTCCTTCAGAATGCTGGGGTGTAATCCATCTGGGCTGGGTGATTTATTCACCTTCAAACCTTTCGCCTTCCCCAGCATGGTCACGACACTCACCTCTGTCCCTGACTCTCTTCAAGTTCTACTCATGCTACTCACCATGAAGACTGATGCAAAGCACCCATTCAGTTCTCTGAGGTATTTCTTTATTTCCCATTACTACTTTTCCCACTTCATTTTCCATCGGTCCAATGCCCTGTCTTGCCCCTGTCTGATCTTTTATATTGTATGCTTTTTCCTTTGTTTCTATGCTGTCCCTGACTTGCCTTTTCAGCCATGGTTGCCTCTTCCACCCCTTAGCATGTTTCTTCTTCCTTGGGATGAATTTCTGCTGTGCTTTCAAAATTACCCTCAGAACTCCTGCTTTTGATGCTCCACTGTCTTCCCTGCTAGGCTGTCCTTCCAATCAACTTTACCCACCTCCTCATTCATGTTATTGTAGTTACCTTTACCAGTGGCCTGGCAAGCCACTGCTCCCTGGACCTAGAATACCTTACCTGCTACCTAACACAAGAGTTCACATCTGCCATCATGACAGCAGACCACACGGATGTGAAGAATGCCCTAGATGTGATTTGCATTGCCAAAAACACAACAGGAAAAAATTCCCCAAGTCCCTATTGTGGCCAGTGACTTCAACCAAGCCAACCTCAAACAGGTGATATCAGAATTCCACCAACACATCTCCCCCACCAGAAGACCAAACATTCTGGACCACTGCCACACAACCATCAACCACCACACTACCACTCATCCTGCACCCATACTTTGGTAAATCAAATCACAGTGCTGTGTTCCTCCTCCCAGCTTACAAGCAGAAGCTGAAACAGGAGAATCCTTCACGAAAAGAAGTACAGTGCTAATCCGAGGCAACAGAAGACTCTCTCCAAGAGTGCTTGGACTCAGTGGACTGGACCGTGTTCAGCAGAAAACCTAGATGAGTATGGCACCACTGTCACGGACTTCATTAGCAAATGCGTGGGGGACTGTGTACCAAAAAACTGATTCTGAGTGTTCCCCAACAGTAACCCTTGGATGAACGAGGAAATCCAGTCTCTACTAAACACCAGACGTGCAGCTTTCGAGTTGGGTGATCCGGACCAACACAGAAAATCCAGGTATGACCTCCACAAAGCAATCAGGGAGGCCATGAAGCAGTACCACACCAAGTTAGAGGCCCAGACCTACCAAATAGACTCCCACCATCTAAGGCAAGGCTTAAACGACATTACGGGATACAAAATGAAACAGTGTAGGATAGCAGACAAAGACACATCCCTCCCTGACACGCTCAATGCTTTCTATACCTGGTTCGAGCAGAATGCCAATGGTGCAATGTCACCTGTCCCTACAGCCCCAGACACACCTGTTCCCTCTGTCACTGCTGCAGGCGTCAGATCTGTCTTCCTGGGAGTCAACCCAAGGAAAACGATGGGCCCAGACAGTGCCCCCAGCCGAGCTCTCAGATCCTGTGTGGACCAACTGGTGGAGGTATTCACCAACATCTTCAACCTCTCCCTTCTACAAGCCAAAGTCCCTACCTGCTTCAAGAAGACCACCATCATCCCTGTACACAAGAAAACATGTGCAGTGTGCCTTAATGATTACTGCCCAGTGGCTCTGACTTCAATAATCATGAAGTGCTTCGAGAGGCTGGTCATGGCCCACATCAACTCCAGTTTCCCAGCCTGCCTTGATCCCCTATAATTTGCCTACCGATGTAACAGATCCATAGAGGATGCCAATTCCCTAGCCCTGCACTCATCCCTGGAACATCTGGTGAACAAAGACACCTATGTCAGACTCCTGCTCATTGACTACAGCTCTGCCTTTAGCACCATTATCCCCTTCAGACTGATCTCAAAACCACGTGAACTTGGTCTCAGCTCCACCCTCTGTAACTGCACCCTCACTTTTCTGACCCACAAGCCACAATCAGTGAGGATACGTAACTGCACCTCCTCCACAACAACACTCAACACTGGAGCCCCCCACGGATGCGTCCTCAGCCCTCTACTATACTCCCTGTACACCTACAGCTGTGTTGCCAAATTCTGAACAAATGCCATCTACAAGTTCACTGATCACACTACCATAGTGGGACGGATATCTAACAATGACAAGTCAAAATACTGAAGGGAGATAGAGGGCTTGGTGATGTGCGATGAAAACAATCTGTCTCTCAATGTCAGCAAAATTAAAGAACTGATCATCGACTTCAGAAAGACAGGAGCAGAACACGCCCTCATCTACATCAATGGAACTGAGGTTGAGAGAGTGAATAGCATCAAGTTCCTCGGAGTGATGATAACCAATGACCTGTCCTGGACTTCCAACGTAAATGTGACAGTCAAGAAGGCACAACAGTGCCTCTTCTTCCTCAGGCGGCTCTGGAAATTTGACATGTCCATAAGGTCCATCACCAACTTCTACAGATGCACCATTGAAAGCATACTGTCCGGGTGCATAACAGTCTGGTATGGCAACTGCTCTGCCCAGGACCGTAAGAAACTACAGAAAGTTGTATGCACAGCGCATTCCATCATGGAAGCCAACCTCCCATCCACAGACTCTATTTACACGGCTCACTGCCGCGGAAAGGCAGCCAACATCATCAAAGACCCATCACACCTGGTAATGACCTCCTTACTTTTCTTCTGTGAGGCAGAAGATACAGAAGCCTGGAGACACGCACGAGCAGGTTCAAGAACAGCTTCTTTCTGTCTGTCATCAGACTGTTGAATGGATTCTAGCCTCAAATGATGTAATCTGCAATGTAACCTGTATAGTTTAATGATGTAAGTCTTTTTGATCTTTACATCCTTTGCTTGCTGTGATCTGCCTGTACTGCTCGTAAACAAAGCTTTTCACTGTATTTCGGTACACGTGACAATAAAATCAATCAATCAACTGTAATACTGTTGCATCTTATTCCAGCTTCTTCCTCTCAAACTACAGGGTGAATTCTATTATATTATTGTCACTGGACCCTAGGGGTTCCTTCACCTTAATTTCCCTGGCCAGGTCTGTCTCATTGCATGTCACCAAATCCAGAATTTCCTGTTCTATAGTGGGCTGTACCACAAGCTGCTCCAAAAACATCTTGCAGGCATTCCATAAATCCCTTTTCTAGGGATCCACTTCCAATCTAATTTTCCAAGTCCACCTGAATATTGAAGTCCTCCATGATTATCGTATTAGTATTTTTCTTTTGTGCCTTTTCTGTCTCCTGATTTATTTTCTTCCCCACACCCTGACTACTGCTAGGGGTTCTGTGCATAACTCCCATCAAGCTCTTTTTCCTTTGCAGTTCTTCAATCCTAGTGACACAGATTCCATGCCTTCTGACAAATACTTGCTTCTTGCTGTCAATTTCATTTCATTTCTTACTAACAAGGCAACGCTGCCACCTCTGCCTATCCTTTTGATTGGATGCACGTCCTTGGATATTTTGTAACCCGCCCTGATCCCCTTGAAGCCAGACATCTGTGATACTCAGAACATTGTACCTGCCAATTTCAGTCTGTGCTGTGAACTCATTTACCTTATTCCATATACTGCATGCATTTAAATACAACACCCTCAGTCTTGTATTGACTGAACCCCTTTCCATAGTTGTCCACTTATCTGCTGTGCCAGAAGTTAGACACCTGACCCTTTCGGTACTCTAAGTCCTGTTGCTTGTTCTGAAATTTTAATTACATCTCCTGAGCCCTCCTTTTAACTCACTTAAAACCTTGTTACCATCCTAGTTAGCCTTCCCACTAGGATCCTGGTCCCAGATCAGTTCAGATGAAGCCCATCCATTGCTGTCCTAATACTGATGCCAGTGCGCCATGAAATGGAACCCTACTTTCCTATTCCACTCCAATCTTTTTTCAATTGTGCTCTTAATTCTTGATGTTCCCCAAAGAGGACCTCTTGCCAATGTTGTTGGTGCCAACATGAACCACAATAACTAGATCCTGCCCCGCCTACTCCAAAATCCTTTTAAGCCAGTTCACAATGTCCCTTACCTTGGCACCAGGCAGGCAATACACCGCGTGAGACTCTTGATCCTGCTTGTAAAGGATGCTATCTGTACATGTAATTATAGATACCCCTGCCATTACAACTGTGGTGCTCTTTTTGCTCCCCCTGCTCGAATGGCCTCCTGTACCACAGGGCAGTGGTCAGTTAGCCTATCCTTCCTATGGTCTTTTTCCTCATCCACACAGAGAGCAAGTACCTCATATCTGTTGGACAAGATCAAGAGCTGAAGCTCCTCCAATGTTAAATTCAGGATCCCTCCATCTGCCTCACTTGTAATTACACCCTCCCATCCCTGACCACTGGCCAAATTTGAAGTACATAATTTATAGGGTGTGACTGCCTCCTGAAACACAGCGTCACAGTTATCTCTTCTCTTCCCTGATATGTCGCAATTTGAAACTCAGAATCCTGCACATCAACTGAGCTGGACTTACAAAGCAACCAACACTTGCTACGGATGTGGTCATGATGAACCACAATAGGTCCACCAGCTCCCATGCAAGTACTTACCAACGAATCCCCGATCGCAGCATAGACTTCCACTTCTGGAAGTTGTGCCGTGCATGTGCCTTGGAGGCTTGGGCAGCAGAAAATCAAATTAAGAAGGATTGCTGCTTAAAACCTTCCTTCTTTACCAAACTTTTGGTCATCTTACTTAATACGTCCTTGTGTGCCTCAGCATTATACTTTGGTTTAGTATGTTTCTGCGAGGTTGCTTTGAAATGCTACACGTTTATAAGGCACCTTTAATGTATGAAGTTATTGTTCTTGTTAGTTTTTCACATGAAGTAGGTCAGTACCTGGGACAAGTTTATTGGTACAGCTGAGTATACAGAAATCATATACAAAATAGTTTAATGCTGTAATAAGGAAATGTAGGCTTTGTGATCAATGGCTCATGATGGGCAGAATGGCTTTTGTCATCCATAGCAATCTCCAAGCGTACAAAACGGGAAGTGCAAGATCTACCATGGTGTTACTTTATGAATTATACTTTGTTCCATCAGGTATATAACCGCACTGGAGGTGGGGATCAGAATGCACAAAGAGAGGGACACTGTTGGCCTGCAATATATTATTTACCTGATCAGTGATATCAGCATGCTACGACTGTTTGAGAGTATTTTTGAAAGTGCTCCTCAACTCTCACTGATGCTGTACATCATGATGTTGAAGAACCAGATGAAGCTTCACCAGTGTAAGTGCTAACTACTGCCTTAAGCAGATCAAAATGTCATCCAGTGACCATCACTACGTGCTGTGCACTAGAAGATGGTAACCTGCCATCTTGATAAGTGGCTTGCTTGGTCATCGGGGGCAGCTAAAAGCCAACCACACTGTTTCTAGAGTTTAACATAGGCAGACCAAGTAAGGATAATTCAGTTTTCTGCCCTTGAAGGGCATTGAACCAGATAGGTTTTTTTAGGAACAACCTGGCAGTCATTTCTTTTAAGAACCTCATTAGGCCGACAAAAAAAAACAAAGAACTGTAGATGCTAGAAATCAGAAACAGAAAGAGAAAATGGTAGAAAAACTCAGCAGATCTGGCAGCATCTGTAGAAAGAAAGTAGAATTAATGCTTTGGGTCCAGTGAAACTGCAGTTGTGAAGAAGTGCCAGTGGACCTGAACAGTTAATTCTGTTTTATCTCCACAGATGCTGCTAGATTTGCTGAGCTTTTCCAGTGTATTTTTTCATGAAAAAAAGTTGAGATAGAGGAACTGAATGGTCTGCTCAAAGTCAACAATGTAAACAGTTTGTGAGGCCTCAGGTATTTTTGTTTAAAGTTGGAACAACAGAAACAGCCTGAATGTCAAGCTCCCACAAAACCAGGATTTTTTGTTTTAGCTTTCAGCAATTGCAGATGTCTTGAAGCTGGATGTAGAAGGTCTTATTCCTGCCTCCATTACAGCTAAAAGCTGGGGTTCTCTTCCTGCTGCTAAAATTGTATGTGAAACAATCTTTTTTACTGAATTTGCCTTTGCCAACGATGTGTTAATGAGATATTACTATATTGGAACAGTTAGTTAGTAGTGGTTAATATATATTTGTTAAGCATTTTAAAAGAGTTACAGTAAAGCCAATTCTTTTATTTATATTTTGCCTGTATTTTACTGTAACATAAAAATTAAGTGTATTTTGCTTAAGTTGAGCAGTTTAACCAAACAAATTGCATCTGGAACACAACACCTTATACTTTACTTTAAAATGAGAAGAAGTTAGGATCTAGGCTATCTTCATAATGCATTTTGAGGGGCTTTGGTCTGTCCCATATCACCAGCAATTTCTGTTTGTGTTTCTCATTAGGCCAGAGGTGCAGTTAAGAGACAACCACATTGCTGTAGGTCTGGAGTCATATGTAGAACAGTGGATTTCCTGCCCTTGGTGAACCAAATGAATTTTTACAATAATGGTCATATGGTTGCTGTTGGATTGCATTGTATTCAAGTTTCATGATGGTGAGATTTGAACCCCTTGTCCCATAACATTAACCCAGAGTTGGGGGTTGTTAGCCAGTGACCTTACCATTAGGCCACCACCTTCCCAATTGGGGAGCTTTTGTGGAATTTGGACTCATATTTCCAGATCATTAGTCCAGGACCATGAATTCCACTTCAGTAGCATAACTATGTTACCATTTCTGCTTTGATCAGATTTCTAATCAACCACTTACTGTGGCCAATTACAGTACAACAGGTTGGAAGATTTCAAGATGCTGCAGTTAAATAGAAATCTTGTGGTACAGTGGTAGTATCCCTACCTATAGAACCAGGAGGCCTAGGTTCAAGAAGCACCTGTTCTAGAGGTGTATGACACAATCTCCGAGCAGGTTGATTAGAAAATATCTTAAAAAGAGATATTGCTTTTTATATATTTCACTTGGTGCCACTGACTGATGTAAGTAGTGGAATCACATTTCATTTAAAGGAGGTCAACTAACTAAATTATATGGTAAATCTAAATTTGCAAAGGCCTTTTTGTTAAAATACATGCTTCTGACAGTAGATGTTCAACACAGAATTGTTTTGACAAACAAAATATAGACAAAGGTATTTCAGAATAGCTATTATAGTTTTTTTTAAGAGAACACCACCAGTAATGCATTCCCACAATTTCCATAACTATTTTAAAAAAGTGTCCCCTTTCCCTTGTTTTACCACTTCACTTCATTTGTGGCTTATTTTCCAGGAGCTTGATTCTTGTTGCAAGTGATGGTCCTTTGGATCAAATCTAGAACCGGCTTAGACAAGGTGATCTTTTTACTCACTGGTAACCATTGACTTTAGCAGAATTAAAGCTGGGTCCTTTGTGTCAAGAGGTTATTTGACTATGAAGTATCATCCCATCCCATTTAACTTCCCAAGTTGGATAGCTATTGCAGATTGGATTAGGAAACAGTGACTTCCTTTGCAAAAAAAAAAAAAGCCAGTCCTCATTTTGTTCATGATTTTTGGACAGAATTTTAAGATTTTTTTGTCCTGCAGCTGCATTTATTTAATGAAATCACACACAAACACTTTCCGAGAAGAGTCACTGGGTGATGGTTCCCTGGCTAATTTCACCTCTTCACCCCCACCTTTCACCACCAAGAAACAAATTATTAGGTGAAAAATAAGTGATCGTTTTGGCACTTTATAACTTTGCTCTTGCTTAATTTAAAAGGAAGGTGTTTTCTGTAACATTGTGACGTTTGTAACTTTAATAAATATACAGCATGTTAAGGGCCAGTGAAATAGTACCTGAAGATGGCAGCTTACAGTGAAACTGCACAATAGTAGTTTCATTGTACATAATATTTTGTTGTAATTGCCAAATATCTTATAAATTACTGTTGAATGAGACTTATTTAACCCCTTAAAGGTGTTATCATGTGAATCAGAGTATGGCAGGTTTTTTTGACATAATGACACAAAGCTGAATTCTCTGCTACTCAATGAATTGCTTAAGCAACCAACAACGTGAAAAACCTTCTCAATGATTGCCCTCTCACTATTCCAATTTCCACAGGTTTCTCCATTGTGGCGTCTTTCCTCTCCATTGCGTGGGCCGTCCTGGACTTTCACAAATCCCTGCGCAGCTCTCTCTCTGACAAAGTGAATCTTAGATTCAAGTCTGCGGTGACTTATTTTATCTTTAACCTGCTACTCATCTGTCCTAGGATTTGTAGCATTGCCCTATTTGCAATCATATTCAAACACTATGTCCTCTTACACTTTGCTCTTATATGCCTGCCCATGTTTATTTGGACTTGCCAACAAGGCACAGACTTTATGAACAACCTGCCTGAAGAGGTATTCTACAGGGGTGCAGTAGCAGTGATCTTGTATTTCACCTGGCTTAATGTTGCTGAGGGAAAAACATTCATCAGACAAGTTATTTATCACTCATTCTTGGCTGTGGATTGTGGGATTTTAGTTGGATTTTGGTGGATTTATAGAGATCCAGTTTTAACCGCTTCGTATGCTCTCCCACTCCTTTTTGCAATATCATCATCATATTTTCTTGGGGCGATTGTAAAGTGCACTTATTACAAGTATCTTCATCCCAGGGTCACGGCAGACTTGCTATCAACTGATGAAATAGACATTCTACAAGATGTTGGATTTCGATTGATTTGTGAGAGCAGACCTTTGATAAACAAGAGAATGCAAATCCTATCCAATTGTTTTTACTCTTCTAAACCTGGGGGAAACAAACGCCACTCAAATATGGAGGAAACTAAAATCTAAAGGTCCAGTATTCCGTTGAATATCAGTTTATGTAAAGGTTTGTTTCACTGCTATTAAACTTCATGGCACGTGTATTTCACGTCAAAATGCACAAAGGAGAATGTATACAATAGGAGCAGATGGTTCTTCAGTTAATTTTTGTTCCGATGTTCTCCACTCCTGCCAATCTCAGTTTACATAATGGGTGTTCAACAAATTAATATGCTTAAAATCAGCATCAAGGAATGGAGATGCCATCCCTGAGTCAGTGAAGAGGAGTTTCTCCATCAATGTGGTGTGTTAATTTTTCCTGATCTATTGAGTTATGTAGAAATTATACAGGCCAAACTGCATGACCAATAAGTCAAAACCTATGTTTTTGTCCCGTTCCCATATCTCTTTCCTTTCGTTCAACCAAAAGTTGCTTTAAGTGTTGATGTTATCTGCTTCAATCACGAACTCTGTTGATACATTTCTTTTTAAAAGACATTTGTGAATCTTTGGGGTTTTTTTTCTGCTCCCTATTCTTAGTTTTATATATTTAATCCACATCTGTGTCCCTGCATTCACACACAACAGCTTCTCAAAATCAAAGTGTAACTGCTGCTTTTTAAATCTCCTTCACCTACTGACTGAATTACCAATCACAACAGCTTATCAATAACATTGGGCAGATTCCTTTTGTACTCAAAATTATTCATTATACCTATTTTAATACCAGTGACAAATTTGGACACTACTTGCTCTAGCGTTATATTTATAATATTGATATAGAAACTAACAGAAGCAACTCTGGAACAGAATCTTATGGGGTACTGTTATCTACTGTCACCCCTCAGAGAAATAAAGCTGCCTTGAACTTCTAATTTATTTTCCACTTCTAACTATTTTATAACCCAAGAAGCCATAGTTCCCAAATTCTATGCCCCTTATTCATGTCCAATATTTTTCAGTTTGTTAAATTTTCAAAGACTTTTTGGATGTCTTTAATTCACGTTTATCTTGCAATCCTGTTTAGTTGCTTCTTCGTTGTTTCCAGGTTAGATTTTTGGCTTAGCTGAGCTCAGCTGGAGCCGTAATGAGAACATCCAAATTAGCCTTAGTACTTCTGGCTGAATTTTCCTATTATAGATGTCGATTTGTCTATGGTATATTTCTCAATTTTTATTATAAACTTGTACAACAGAAAGAAAATTAGATTCAATTCTACTGCCTTAACCAACTCAAAATTAACAAAATATAGTTCAGTTAGCTGAGTTCAGCAAAAACAAAAAGTTTCAAAACTTCTTTAAGTATATCATGATGCATCAGAGAAATTTACATCATTTATCATTACAAATTCAGAAATTGGGCTGTATAATCAGTTACAAACTAGGCAACTAAAATGGAAGATATTATTAAGTAAGGCTTCGGGAGTTGGATCAGAATGAAAGCCATGATGGTGAGAAAGTTCAAGGCTCAATGCCCTATTTATGTCAACTCAGTTGATTGTTGCCAGGACCTCATGAGCAGCATAGTAACTAACTGTGACATTTTAGTCTTGGAGATGGAAAATTGATTGTGGAGAGGGAGTTCTTTTCACTGATTGCTACAGTTCCCTGCCAGTTGACATTGGAGGAGTCAATCTATGCTATGATGTTGCTAATAGTCATGATCAAGACTCACGTAAGAAATAGTAGCAACGTGAATGAGGTACAGGGCAATGCTTGAAGCAGAATACTGCAGTTAATGAATGCTGAACAGAGGAGATCGAAAAGGAAAAGATTATGAGCTCTTTGTGCAAGTTGTTGTTATTGAATCTATCTAATCTGGAGAACGCAGCAAATGTTTGGTATGACTGAAAAAGTTGTCAACTAGTTTACATTTAACAAGTGTTAACATGACAGAAATATAACCAAATATGTGCAAATAGACATAAAATGTAAGAATGGGAATATTTCCTTTGGTGCATGATATGGCAAATAAGACATTTCTAAAGAATGCATTTATGACTTTGCTATCTATCACAATGCAGAGGAAGTCCCCATTGTCCCAAAAAAGCCACCACATCTGCTTATGGTGGTCATATGCAACCATACATTTGACAACCAGTGTATGTGCCATTAGAAGGTCAAACACGGAGATTGAAATTAGTTTAAGTTAAAACTTTGTCACTTTCTCCGAGGAAATGTAAGTATTAAAATTAACCGGGCTGCAGAAAGGTGATTCTGATTTAGTTAGTTTGAACTACTTATAGTATATAATTCATGAAAGAAATGGAAATGTAATGTGTTTAACTCTGGATTGTCTGAGAATATACCAGCTGTCCCTGAAGGCTGCATCTTCATCTGTACTTGGTACCTAAACAGGTCAGCTGTTCTTATTTTTACATAAGCGTGTTTCTTTTTACACATATTGAATGAAAAAAAACTTCAATAATATATATGTACAAAAATATCTTTTTCTATTGTGCAATTAAATTTCAAAAGTGGTTTTGATTTGGTGGATCCAGCATGGACTCAATAGGCCAATGGCCACCTTCTATGTGATTCTAACTTCTGTATAGAACATCAGTCAGCAGAGCAGTGAGATGGCAGCCCTGGCAGCAACTGAGGTGCTGTTGGAATCAGGGCATTAATTAAGTTGTAGAAATGAGTGGGAGATTCAGAAATTATATCAGTAGCTCCACATATCCCAGGAGGTTTCCAATTTATCTGATCTCAGCTGAGTCAGTGCCAACAACTTCCCTTAGCATGAGGAAGGAACAACAAGTCGCAAATCTTGATAAATAGAACATAAAGTCAGAGTTAAACAGTACAGAAACACACGATTCGGTTCAACCCATCCATGCCGACCAGACATCCTAAACTGATATAGTCCCATTTGCCATTATTTGGACCATATCCGTCTAAACCCTTCCTATCCATATACCCATCCAGATGTGTTTTAAATGTTGTAATTGTACCAGCCTCCACCATTTCCTTTGGCAACTTGTTCCATACATGCACCACCCTCTGTGTGAAAAGGTTGCCCCTCAAGTCCCTTTTAAATCTTTCACTTCTCACTTTAAACCTATGCTCTCTAGTTTTGGACATCCCTGCCATGGGAAAAAAAAAACCTTGGCTATTCACCATATCCATGCCACTCATGATTTTATAAACCTCTATAAGGTCACCCCTCAGCCTCCGATGTTCAAGGGGAGAAAAGGCCCTGCTTCTTGCTTTAGCTCAAACCCTCCAATCCTAGCAACATCCTTACCAAAATGATCTTTTACTAAAACATAATCATACATTGTTGCTGTTTTTGTTTTAGTAATAAAACAAAAGTTTATCAACAACAGAAATGAAGATAAAGAAACTCATTCTACTCCTTTGTAACACAGATTCAAAAATTCTTAAACACACAGTAAAAATAACCCAAGCTTTCTTGAGATTGAACAGAAACAAAAGTCTTTCAACTCATCTGCTGGAACTGTACATAACTCTTTTTTCATCATTACGCTCCTAACTTAGTTTCCTTCCAATGCTATACTATCCTTGATGCAACTTAAATTCCTTTTGTTTTTAAATTAAAAACTTTTTTCCACTGACTGTATCCCAACAATCCAGTCTGGGATTAACAATAATTTCTTATTCTACAAAAAATGTCATTACTTTAAATTCCTTTCCTTTGGAACAATGTCAACCACATTGAAAGACTTCTTAGTTCTACAGAACTTGATACATGCTTCATTTTTGAATGACTTTCCAGCACAGACAGAAATGGAAGCTAGAATCTGGGTAGTTCTCTGGGAACTCTAGGTGACTTGTCTCCCTTGAAATTATTCATGTTGTAGTTTTATTTATTTATTTACTTTAAAAGCTTATTGTTCATTCCAAACACACAGAGAAACCCATATATTTAACTTAGAATTCAAAGAACCCAATCTTGCAGTAAATGATATTAACCACATACAGATATATATATATATATAAATTTCACAGTTTCATCACACCTCCCCCCAAAGAAGAATTAAAATGGATCTGAAAGAGGTATCAGAATGATCTTACCACTAATTCTATATCAGTATAACAATAATAACATGTTGAAATTGAACATATAATGAGCTGTACAGCAGTCACTTTTACTCATTACACAATCTCTGCTGTGTACACTCAAATAACTCACAATGACATTTACCTTTCTGAGAAGGCCAAAGGATTGTCTGTACAAATAGTAGTTTCTTCCATACTGTTACCAATGTAAGATAATGTAGAGCTGACACAAAACCTGATGTTTCTTTATCCATAGTCAAAGATTTCTGTTCATCTGTGTTCAGTTTTTTTAAAATAACTGACAGGCCATTCAATTCTCATTGCATCATCTTGCAGTAAAACAGCTCCTATACCAATATTACTGGCATCAATAGCCAATTTGAATGGTTTTGCATAATTTGGCACAGCTGTGGTGCTGTTGTAAGTAGAGCTTTCAGCTTCGCAAAGGCAATTTGTACTGTTATATACATTCAAATATTTTGCTCTTTTTTGACAAGTTTTTTAAAGATGCACCACCAACAATGAAGTTTAGAACAAACATACAATACAATCTACTCTTGCTAATTTAATTTAAAATGTCATGCTTGGTCTTTGAGAAAATCCAAAACAGCCTGTACTTTTACTTCTTTCAATGATATTTGCCCTGCAGTATGGCCTAAATAAGTCACCGGAGTCTTGAAAAATGCATTCTTAGCCATATTTATATCCAACATATCTTGTAGCGTTCAATTGAACAGTTGAGTCAAAGATGTAAATGCTTTTCTCCAGTTTGGCTAAAACCAACCAAATTGTTGATATAAACTGTACAGTTAATCTTTAATCACTTTATTGGTCAACTATAGAAACATTGCTGGTGCACTTTTCATTCCAAATGGCATGCTTTTGCACTAACAAAGTCCATCCAATGTCACAAAAGCCGATATTTTGTTAGTTTAGTCTGTTAAAGAAATTTGCCAATATCCCTTTAGAAAGTCAACTTTTGTGACCAACTGTGCATGTGCATTTGGTCTATACAGTCCTCCAGTCTTGATATAGGATATGAGTCCACTTTCATTGCCATGTTGACTTTATGATAATACAAAATATTTATGACCCATTTAGTTTTGGCTCCATTGAAATAGATGAATTCCAGCTGCTTTGACTCCATTCTATAATGTTGCTGTCCATCGAGAACTTAATCTCTTCCCTCACCTGATCTAATCTCTCCAGATGGAGCCTAGATTGGTGTTGCCTTATAGGTAATCCATTGTCCATATTAAATCATGAACAGCCTCCTCAATTGATTGATTGATTTATATTTCTGTAAGAACCTTTGTTAGTTACTTTAGTAACTTTCTGGAAGATAATACATCACAGTCTCCAACCTTTTAAGCACCTCCAAGTTTTTCCAACCTTATTGTTGGAGTGTTAACTTCTGAAATTTCCCTTTTAGACTTCGTTCTCCAATTGCTCTGATATTTCTTTTTCATTTCTTACTTCCTTCACTAATATAAATACACTTTTCTCCTCACCATCATCCCAATCATAATATCTTTTCAACATGTTAACATGACACACTTGCTGACTCTTTCTTCTGCCTGGGAGCACTCACTACATAATTTATATTATTCAGTTTCTTCTCAATTTGATAAGGTCCAGTGAACCTTGCTTTTAATGGTTTCCCAGAGTCGAGCAACAACACTAACACCATATCCTCTCCAACAAAAGTTTTAACTTTGGACTTGTCTGCTTTATTTTTCATTATTTGTTGGGTTCTTTCAGATGTTTTCTAGCCAACTTGCGTACATTTGTCAGTTTCTCTTGAAAATTTGAGACTTAGATTGAAAGCATTGTTCCTGAATTTTCATTAAGTGGGCCTCTTACCTCATGTCCATATGTCAAAAGGACTAAATCCTGTGTATTCATTAAGAGCATCCCTAATGGCAGATAGTAACAAAGGAATTCCCTTTTCGCAATCATTCGGAAGTTATCGTAATTTTCAAAGTCTAATACTATCTTTTCGATGCACCTTAAGATTGTGGGTAATAAGCAAAAGATATAAATTATTTAATTCCAGAACTAGTTATTAATTCTTTAAACTTTGGAGAATAAAATTTGAACCTAGGTTTGATTGTATTTCTTTGAATTATCTGTATCTCAATTTAAAAATAAAGCTAACTTTTCCACTACAGCTTTTGCAGTTTTTTTTTCTAAAGGCATTCCTTCAGGAAATCTAGAGGGAACATTAAAATCATTAGAATCATGAAATGATACTGTTTCCCATTCCAGGTTTAGGTGGGAGTCTTACACAACCTATTTAGACTATGCTAAACGGTTCTTCAAAAGCTGGTACTAGAATTAAAGATACAGGTTTAATTGAAAGTTTGGGATTCTCCATGACTCAATGCATAGCATGTCTAACAAAAACAAGTTCCATTTATGTAATCCTGATCAATAAAAATGTTTTAATATTTTTAGCCTTTATTTTCTTAATCTGCAGATTACCTGCCATTGAAATTTCATGAGCCATTTCTAAAATCTCCTTACAATACTCAGAATTTTGTGCTTTTGAAATTTTGGACTGAAATGAGAAAAGACTGTTCTAAAACTAGTGTTTTAAAGGATTGCTGCATGTTTTGAAAATCAAGTAATCTGACAGTCATGGCAAGTATCACGTAAACAGCTGAAGTGGTTGCCTACGAGTGGAGCTAAGGGGTTGTTTACCAATACAGCTGGGTATCGACAAGTGATCAGTTGTTGATGATAAAAGCCTTTTGCCAGCCAACAGTGTGACTGGTTCTCAGGTAGCTGAACAGCTTGGGACTGAGGACAAGGGAGAGAGAAACGCTTTGATCTCCACCAGCACATAAGCTGTCTCTATGTTCTCAGCAGTCAAAACCAATTTTAAGCTTGAAGTAAACCAGTTCTTTTTTTCTTCAGCAGTTGTTGTAAGCTGTGACTTTTAACTGGTAAGTCAGAGACCATTAATAGCAAATCAGTCACCTGGTGAAAGCATTGAAAGTCAGATGACTGAAAAGCATTGACCAGCATTACAATAATCTCAGCAACCCATGAGCAGAAACTACTGAACTGCCTCCAAGTTTTCCTCTACTCATAATGAAATATAGATTGTTTGTTTGTCCATGTGGGTATGGAGTTTATAATCAGATTAAAGTTTTAATTTGTGGTATTGTATGCTAACAGTTTATAAAACTGTTGCTAGTCTAACTACTTGTAATAAATAATGAGCCTTAAGTACAGAAATCTGGTCTGCACTTTCTAGCAACCTGGGTCTGAAAATCAGGTAAATTAGAGAATTGTGTAATTTTAAAATCTTTGTTTTTTGTGACAAGTGCAAAAATTGCAGGGCTTCCAGTGTGCTATCCCAATGAGTCGCAGCAACTCGAAGAATCTAATCCTGGTGATATCCTGCTGTTACTTCTACCTTTCATTTATCTACTACATACTTCAGTTTAACCTTTGTCAAAGATTTAAAATAACCTATGTCTTACACTCCCAAAAAACCTCTTAGCAACTTGCAGAGCTAACTTTAAATGTCATGTAATAAAGTTGCCTACAATATCCTAGACAACTAGCCCCCAGTAATGATGATCTAATGACCCCAATAGTTACAGGGGAAAACCCAGTTGACGTTAGCTCCAGAAAAGCCAGATCCCCAATAGTAATCTGATTAGATAGATCATCATTTTGTTTTGTTGCCAATGATCTTTTACCAAAACATAAGCACGCAACATTGCAGTCTTTGTTTTAAGAATAAAACAAAAGTTTATTAACTGAAATGAAGATAAACAAGAAATAATAACACTATTCTCTTTGAATCACTGTTACAAAGTTTTTTTTGTTTAAGACAGTAGAAATAACTCAAGAACTCTTTTATAGATTGAACAAAAACAGCCTTGTATCAAA